CTCTAGCAACTTTAGAGCAAAATTATAGCTAATTTGCCTACAAACGTCAGGTGGTCATAATAATCTGGCCACTCAGTGTATAAGTCCTCTATAAAAAGGTGCCCATACACTTTACAACCCTCGCAAGACCTGTCTTGCAAGGGTTGTAAAGTAATTAAAAAAACGTACGACCTGCCCATCTTGGACAGGCAGATCGTACCTGCGATCATCGCAAGCCCGCCCCCCTGAACGGGCAGTGTGCACATCGGCCAGTTCGGCATTTGTCTCCCGAGCATCAAACAGGTTTTCTAGCATGCTCCTTAGACAAAGGACGTGCGACCGTACAGTAGAAACGGTTGCACGCCTTCATTCACACTGCACGAGTATGGGCACCTTAAGAGACCACTTCTTCCCTGGTGGAAGCCCGGCAGAAGTCCCAGGAGTCCTGGCTGTAAAAAAAGGTAACATGATGGAGGAATATCTCCCTGCAGGGCACAGACAGCAAAAAAGATGTGAACAGCTATCAAACCCTACCTACTCTGTCCAAGACGAAAAAATTATGGAAAATATCTCCAATGAGGGCAGAGACAGAAGTTAAACACTTTGGTAGGGTGGGAAAAGGACACTCTGAGGTGTTTATTGCACCATGTTCATTATAATTAGGGATGCACCGATATGATCTTTTCAGCATCAAGTACCAATATTTTTTTTTTTGGTACTCGCCGACACCGGAAGTCCCATTAACAAAGACAGGCAGCGTGTAATGACTCGCCACTCGGCTTCCTGATTAGCCAGGAAGCCGTCTCCATGCTCCCTCATCACCAGGTGACGAGGAAGCATGGAGGCGTTTTTTGGCCAATCAGGAAGCAGGGGAGGCGGGTAATGACTCGCCGCCTGGCTTCCCGATTGTCCAGCTTTCCGTCCAATCAGGAAGCTGGACGGCGAGTCATTACATGCTGTCCGGCTTCCGGGAAGCCGACTTCATGCTCCGTCACTTGGTGTTGGCTTCCTGATACCGGAAGTTCCGGTATTGGGATATGCATCGGGAGCAATTGGGCGAGTACGTGTACTCGCCCAAATACTCAGTATCAGCACCGTTACCGATACTTGTATTGGTATCGGTGCATCCCTAATTATAATGAGACAAAATGGAGGTTTAATCTCCCGTCGGGGGAAAATCATAGACAGCGATAAAAATCTGACAACAGTTCTCAACCTAACAAGAAAAAAAAGTTATTTCTGGAAAAGCTCAGCAAAGGGATGGCAGCCGGTCTTGGAGACACCAACCAGATATAAGATTGACGCCAAATCCAACTGTACCTGGCAAGGCTTGTCAGTATTTCTCCTATGTCTGTAGGCAACCTAGGACCGTTGAGGTTCATGCCCCTTGAGCTTCAGGTTGAGATAAATATAACTCCACTACTACACCAAATGAACGGGTAAAACTAAAGAGGCTAAAATGTTTGTGTTGAAAAACAGACAATTGTGGACTGAAAGCACGACTCTGGAATCCTGTTTAAGCAAATGAAGAAATTCAATGTAAAAAAATGCAGAATATGCAAACAGCACAGCAGATACCAAACAGAAACCACAAACATTCTTTTTACACACAACCAGTTAAAGGTCGCACAAAAAAAAAAGTCAAAAGGATGAGGACGCATGCAATAAACACAGGAAATTCATGCAGATTGCAGATCCCCACTGACACAGGAAGGCAGACAATCTTATTATGCTCCTTGGCAGGAAAAAACATATACTGGGGACTAACTAACAACATCTTCAATATTTTCTCTACTAAATACACAATATTCTTCTAAAAGAAAGGAGATGTACCAAGTGGCACTACAATAGGTTAGAATGTACAACATTTATGGGTCTATTTAAAAAGCAGAGAATTTCACCAGACATTCTCTTGTGGAGAATCACATGCTGTCATTTAAAGTAGAACTCTGGGGAAAATTATTATTAACCCTTAAAGTGGGGCTACCCATCAAGGGCTCGTTTTGGTCTAGGGAGGAAAATAACAAAGCGATACTCACCTGATCCTTGGAGTAGGCTTGCTCTTAGAACGGTCCCTCCGCTGCAGTGGTCTAAGATCCTGTAAATCATTATGTTCTATACACAGTGTATAGGACGTGAGGATGCCGAGGGACATACCATCTCTGCAGTGGAGAAAGGGGAAGGCAGGAGGGAGCTCAGAAGATCGGGTGAGTATGACTTTGTTATTTTCCTCCCTAGACCAAAATAAGCAGTTAACCCTTGCAGTGCAGGGGTAGCCCCAATGCAAGGGTTAATCATTTTCAACAGAGTTCTGCTTTAAAACACATGGGCCTGGACGTTCCAACTGCAGAGAATGTTTACTAAATGTCAGATTCTCCTAATAAATATGCCCTCCTGTCTTGTTGGTTAAAGAAGAAGAATTTTTTTTCCAATAGTGTAGGGAAGCGTTATAACCTTTGACCCTATGTGGAAGATTGAATAGTTGCCTTGTCGCACTCCTTACCGGAAATTCCCAACCACAGTGGGAGTGCTCGTAGTGACTGCGCATGGCACTGCCAGACAATGATTGTAGATAGATGTCACCAGCACACCAAAATCATTTGAAATCCAAAGTTTTTGTCATCAGAACAAGCGCTTTCGGGGGCCATTGCTTGCGATTCATTGTGAGCAACTGCAGCGGTGTAAAACTGTGGGCAACCATGGCTACCTATGGTCATCTGATAATTACTATAATAAATGGGACAACTGTCTACCAATCGCTACAATAGATGGGGAAAATCAATCATAACAACCGATCTCAGGTGATTTTCAGCTGTGTGGCTCACATGATGTCAGTGTACTGTAGGATAGTAAATAAAGTTGTTATAGTAGTAAACTGAAAGATTCCCAATTCCTAATGTGATTTCATTGACAATTTCAGAACAAACAACCAACTAATACATTTTCAACATAACATGTAAATGCCACAGGCTTACAACATTGTTGTCTCATCCGCGAAAATGTAGGGGCACTGCAACTCATACTCAGCCTCACAGCAGGGTACAATTTAGATGTTCATGAACAACCAAGCAATACCCTATAATGGGTCACTGGCCTCAAGGTAAATGTAAATTACAGTATCTTTACTGACGTGCAGGATTAAGGACGGTGTGTTATAGGTCATCTAGGGGTTTTTTTATACACATGGTGCGTAAAATTATGGCCCATGTGGAGAACACAACCTTTTTGGCTTATGTTTTTGAGTTGTAGAGCCCAAAGGCTTTGTAGAGCTGTGGGTGGGATAAAGCCTTCATTTCTAGGTCCACACCTTACCTGGTAGCCAGACACCATTGTCCACATTTCTTTTCATATGTGAGCTAACTGATGCTGAGGGCTCTCTCACTCTCTCTGCTGGGTGAGCGGGGTGAAAAGGCTGACAGAACAGAAAAGGTACAAGGATATCGGCCTTGGTAAACCCATTAGGAATCTTCCATTAGTCAGGAACTAACCTGAGTTTAATTAGTGTTTCAGACGAGCAGATAGTTTTTTTTTTAATGCTGTGCACTTGCTGTACAAAGCCCTCCACGCACTGAAACAGTGTTTGCTAGCTGCCTTGCTAAATAACAGTGGAGGACAAACCTGCTTGGACTGTCCCTGGGTATCTCCAAATATATATGTGAAATAATGAATCTATCTTATATATGTATTAAATGTACTCAGAAAAGTCCAATGGTGGATAAATGCATTCCCCTTGGTGGTTCAGATGCGGATTTGATATACAACCAATAAGTTGTGTAAGCTATGAGAACACATGAGGAAACAGATCACTTACAGATCAGGATCACAAAGTTTTAAGCAGCGTTAAAGAGTAGAGAACAGCAGCCAGTGTAAAGCACTACTGACACTTAAGTGATGCTTGTTGTGTTAAATAAATGTCAGGGACACAAGACTGGTGCTAAGCAATGCAGAACAGAGTTTAGAATTATTTATCTCATTCCACTGATGTGGAGCAGACTGCCTCAAGCACCATATAGATTGAGATTTGAAGGCTCTTTACATAATAGGAACAAAGCAAAGATGTTTGCTGCAAGTTAAAAGGCAAAAAACAAAAAGATAAGCAGTTGAATGCACACTCAAATATACATGTGAATTACTTTGCCCGCCTAGATATTTAGCTAGATTTCTCATTGATGAATCGCTTCACCACTATGAAGAGGCTGTAACTTTGCAGCTTCTAGTGCCACTTCCTGGCTTTGAGTCTGCTCACCTCTCTATGAATGTGGATCAGACAACTGGTGAGGTCCTGATTATAGTGTTCACCTCCACTAAGCGGTCTAAACACCCCCCTAAGATGTCTGAAACAGAATGTAAGCTTTGTGAAAAGCTCAAGGCGTAAAGGTTTGAGAAAGGTACTGGCACTCCCACCTTCAGCCTGATATCTGGTGTACAAGGGATTACTGTATGGATATAAAAATAGAATTTTAGTTAAAGTGGTCTTTGTATGGATATGCAAGGTCCAAATCATCTTGGAGCCCACACCTCCCAAATAAAAAACACTCATTAAAGTGATCCAGTCGTAATTAAACAGGCAACAAAAATATGTCCCTGTAAAAGATGAAAGTAAATACTCACCTATCCTGCTGTGTGGAACAACGCTCTGTGGACGAAAAATCTTTTGCTGAAGTCTGAGTGGAAACTGGCACTTCTGTGAGTGTCATACTCTTGTGTCCCCCACTGCATTCAGCGGCACCTCCCATCGACCTTTATGTCAATATCAAACACAGTAGTGATGTGGAGATCAGCTGGAGGATCCACTGAGTGCAACAGGAGACACAAGTGATCTCTAATCCTTGAAGTGTCAGTTATTTTCACAGACTTTAGCAGAGAATTTCTCATCACTGCAATCGGTGCAGCTGAAAAGGTGAGAATTTACAGTCTTCTTTTAATGGAACCCTTTTTTTGTAGCCAGTTTATTTCTGCCAACAAGCTTGCTTCAATGGATAAAAAGAATAAACCATTATGAGAAAAAAAAAAATACTTACTTTGGACTTCAGATGCTTTCCTGCAACACCACTGTGCCTCAATGCTGCCTCCTGGGAGAGATAAGTACCCAAAATCCTGTGAAAATGCTTTTAAGCACTAATGCCACAGGTTCTAATTTATTTTCATTTATACATATACATTTGTGAAACACTTGGATTAATATGGCAAGTTTGCCAAAACTGAAATCTTGGGTGAAAGGCTTAGGTGAGTGCTCGTCAGTGACTGAAGTCTCTACTCCTTTACATGACAGTTCGCTGGCTTCTTATACATCTTAAGCTCCGTTCCCTTTCACCCAGGAGTTTTGGGTGTTCTTGCCCTACTTTGCATGTTCAAGCCCATTCCTGTTGCATTCTACAGATTATAAAATAAATACAAAAAAAGAGAGAGCAAGACCTCCTCATAATGGCCATAGAAAGTGTGCAGACCCAGGACCTCAAGCACAATGATCTCACCAATAACGCCCCCAAAACATATAAGAAACTGTCAGCTTTCTTGAATCAACCAAACACTGAAATATCAGTGGTGGATAGATTGATAGTTTAAACTTCCCAGGGATGTTGAAGCCAAGATATCCAAAAAGAAATCCCCTTTCCAACCACAAATGAAAAATGCCTTTCTATTTAATAGACAACTGGTTACCTGTTCCTAGTGACAGCAGAGGACTGGCCACTTGTGGGCAATCATAGCTGATGCTGCCTAAATATAGGATTAGTTTTAAAATTTACAATATTGGTGGATATTTTAAGAGCTTTATCCCGAGCTGAAAAGTCATGATAGTTCCGGTTCTGCTTCACAGAAGCTGTAGTGGATTTTCTGAAGCGTCTGTATATCCAGTCCACTGACATCAATGAACCAGCTATCTAGGAGCATTGCACAGTGAACAGATAAGAGCAGCAATGGCAGAGGCTCCCTTGGGGCCAACAGCAATAGTCAACAACAAGTATGACCAGGAAAGGAGGCATTCATCCTCTTTATTCTCTTGCCAAGATCCCTTTGTCTGTTGAATAGTTTGTGTCACCAGCAGTTGGATACAAACACCATTCTATAGAGCTGACATTTTTAAGTGAAGTCAAATATTCCCAAAGGATATGAATGAATGTTCTGCTCACATTTTTATAAAAATACCAAGTTCACACCCCTGTATATAAAAAAACAAAAAGATGCCGAGCTCCCTAAGTTGATACCTCATTCACAACCTTTGTACAAGTTCAACACATGCTACAAAAAATCAAATAAAGCACAACTAAAGCAACAACACAAGCTGGCAAAACCTTGAATGTATTTCACAAAAAGCAGACACACACTGAAGGAGAGGATCAAAATCTTCAAGGGAGACAAACAAAATAAGCTGATAGCAAACACCAATTCTGTGTCAAAGTGTGTGGATACTAGAAATAACTAAATTTGTTAAATGATTGTTCCCTATTTAAAACAACATTCCAGCGGAAACTCCAGGTTAGAGTAGGAAGAGGGGGACAGTTGTACATATTCCCAAAAGCTCACGATCCAGTGCTTCCCTTTGTTTTGTTCTAAAGGGTCAGTCCACTAAAAGTGGCATTAAAAGGTATGGTATCTAGCCATGCTGGTTTTTACAACCCTTTGAGGACCCCACTAGCAAGATCTAGATTGAAGGTTAAAAGTTAAGCTATAGTTGTGGAGTCCTGTTCCTGCCCATGTTGGAGTTGTGGGGGTTTCTGCACACCATGAAGGGTTCCACTCATGCCATTAACTAGGAAGCAACTAAAACTCAATGACCAGGAGGGAGGCTGGCCAGATGAGGGTACCAATGGGTTAATTCACTCACCAAGAACCCGCTTTTAATATTAATCTCAGTAGGCCTTACTCTCCAGTATCCTCCAACTAAAACAAAAATGTCCCATGCAATATATATATATATATATTCTGAATTCTCTTGCTACCCAAATGAGTGTCAGAAAAACTCCCCTTAAAAAGGAGAACTATGGGGTTAAAGGAGAACTATGGGGTCAGTGTTTTTCCCCATAGTTCTCCTTGGGGTAACGGAATGACACAAACTAGCGTCCTCCCGTTACCCTAAGCTCAGTATACCGCAAGCTACAGCTCGCGGTATACTGAGACGCCGCACCTGGAGCGGATCCCGACTTAGATGACGGGATCCGCCCAGCTGCGTGAGTGACAGCTGGCTCTGCCTATCTAGAGGCAGAGCCAGCTGTACTCGCCCCCTCCCCCGTCCGTTCCGCCAGTCAGCGTTTGGCAGATCGGAGCGGGGAGAGGGGAATCCAGGCCCTCCCCCTGTCACGGCAGAGAGCCGTGACAGGATCGAGAGGTGAGGGAACCCGGTATGTGTTCTCTCACCTCCCGATCTACTGAGCCGACCTGTGACAGTCTCATTGTCACAGGTCGGCTTAGAACTATGAGGTGAGTGGAAATCACTCATGTCATACTTCTCCTTTAAAGCTTTTCCCCATAGCTCTCCTTAGGGTAACGGGAGGACACAAACTAGCGTCCTCCCGTCACCCTAAGCTCAGTATACAGCGATACTGAGACGCCGCAGCTGAAGCGGAGGCAGAGCCAGCTGTACCCGCCCCCACCCCCGTCCGTTCTGTCAGTCAGCGCTGGCAGATCGGAGCGGGGAGGGGGGAATCCAGCCCCTCCCCTGTCAGGGCAGAGAGCCGTGACAGGATCGAGAGGTGAGCGAACGCCTGTATGTGTTCGCTCACCTCCCCATCTACTGAGCCGACCTATGACTCATTGTCACAGGTCGGTTAGAACTATGAGGTGAGTGAAAAGCACTCACCTCATAGTTCTCCTTTAAGAGAAAGGAAAAAAGCTGCAGCAAAGAAATGGAAGCTTTACAGTGTTATTCACAAAAGGTGAAGAGTTTGGAGAAGGCAGGAGAAGTGAACAATCTAGGACAACATAGCTGAACTGGAAAGTGAGCAGAATTGGAGAATTTTTCCAAATCAGCTATTTAGGCCTAGATTGTTCACTTCTCCTCTCTTCTCCAAACTGTTAAGGGCACTTATTGATGAACCATTGATGGGATATCTAATTAATGAAATCCCTAAGACCTAAAAAAATAGCAAGCAAATTCAGATTGCCAGCAACCTCACAAGACGAATAGATCAGTTTTTAGTGGAGCTGATGCATGAAAAATCCGCAACACCGCCTTAGCATCTAAACTGGCCAGATGTAACTCTGATACAGTTTTAGAATAGCTTTCTTAGCAGAAAAAAAGAAAATAACCTTACGATATATTTGTTGGGGTCAGGTGCTCCACCTCTTCAAGATACCGGTGCTGGGAAGGTATAAATAGGAAACTTGGGTCCCATCATGAACTAGGAGCTTCCCCTTATTTAGCGCTGTGTAGGCTGGGCTGCCAGCATGATGTAGAGAAGGGGCTGGGCACAGACAATACTTGTTAAGGGTGTTACACAGGCTAAAATGTATTTAGCTTTTTCACTGCATGAGGTGAATGTTAAAGGCTGATCAAAGACCGCACGTTTGTGATAACAATCACTTATGCTGCTTGGAAGCACTTGGTATTGAACCTTTAAAGAGCCTAAGTGTCACAAGCAATGCTCGTATCAGCTGTATCACTTTCTAATACAGGATCATGTAAAGTCAATCTTTATCAACTATAGTACCATAACTACTTTTAAAACCTCATCTTTTAGGAAAGAACTCATTTTACCAACACATTGGCACTTTTTATAGGGCATATGATTGCACCAGAAGAATGAGAGTTTATTAAATGAATAGTCTGGCTTCCCTCACACTACAGCACCAAAAAGTTCTTGCAGGAAATAATATGTTATTGCTGGAGATTTTGATACTTAAAAGTGAACATGTATACAGAATTTCAGCACACTGCACACTGGACAAACAGGCAAGAGGCCGACTTGCTGGACACCAAAGATATCTTACCCTTAGATCGGGCCTCTTGAAGACCTGTTAAAATGCACAATGTTGTCAAAGATAAAGGATTTACTCCACTGCTTGACATTATGAAACACAGAATCAAAAGTACATGTAAAACCACTATCAGGCATTCTCCATGACAACACCCATATGTGAAGAATTGCCCTACTTACCCATAGTAAAAAGCTGTGCTCTACCAAACTTTCTCAGTACTTTCTAACAAGTACAACAAAGAGATGAACCAGTCTGCATTATTTTAAAGCTAAAATGTCTAGTAGACAGATCTCCTTGTATAACTATGTGCATTGGGTGCTGTCAGGAAGGATGATAGGGGCGAAAGAACCCCATGAAATGTTCTGACATGCAAGACATTTCATTACTGCTTAATTATGGATGATCATTATTGGTGAAATGCAAAGTCCTCAGACTATAGTAATCTGCTAAAGGATACCCAACACATAAATGACAACATGTATTACATAGAATGTCTGTTATCAACATACCAATATACTTACCCATAAGCAGACTGGAAACCACCTACAATTCAATTGTAATTCAGGCTGGTGGGGGTTGTACTGCTTTTACTCCGGCCAACCACTTACTTGTGACTCCTCAGGCAGAGAGCTCGGAGGCCATCTTTGGTGTAGCTCTAATCATGGAGGCTCAGAGCTACATTACACTAAAAAGCCTAAGCAACTGAAAGTAAGGGAAGCCTCAGAATTGTTGGAGGAGCTAAAAACAGTTGATTAGGTGTGCTGCAGCAGCACAAATTCCTACTGGTCACAAATGTATATGACTTGCAAGTGGTTTCCAGCAATCTGTCTAAAGCTGGCCACACAATGCTCCAATGCTCAAATTTCAGCCGATTAAGCAACAAATGGATGAACTTTGAGCCATGGATGGCTCTGTCGGCACCCCAACCCCCCCCTCCTTCGACACGCAAATCAATTAAAAAAATTTTGTTGAAGGAGCTGTTCCAAAATTTATCGGCCATACAATATCTGCATCAGACAGATGCACGTGCTGTTCAGGTATTCAGTAGCTGTTGCTGAATACAATGGTTGGCAGCAGGGGTTCCTCCATCCATACTGTTTTGCATGGATGGAGGACTGGAGTAGATTCTGGGAGTGTTTTTGTCTAGGTTAGAAGTGTTTTTTCCCCCTATAAATCTGAAACCCCAGTTACTACAGTCAAACAATCTGAGACTAACAGCTACATTTAAAACAAACAGGTTGCTTTCAGTTGCAAAAGTGTGCAAGTAAAAGCTTGTGTTGAGGAACTTTGTTTGCTTCAGAAGGGTTTTACCTTCCTATACAAGTCTAAGGCCTCATTTACACTGCCGCGCATATACGCGCGTATTGTACTATATGCAAATAAATGGCTCCATTCACATAGCTGCCTATTGAGCTGTATATTTGCGTAACGTAAAAATGCGCAAAAACAGAATAGAACCGAGATGCGTTCGGGCAGCGTATTTCTGCGTACTTTACGCGCATATATGCATGTTTGCCCGCGTATAGGCACGTATGAGCGTACAGTTCATTAAAATTTCTATTAAGAATTATGTATTCTGGGATTGCATATAGTGCACGCATATATATACGCGTATATACGCAATATACAATTTTGCTCTTGCGTTGTGGGTGAATGAGGCCTAAGAGGAAAGCAAAATCTGCTTGAAGCAGGTCAGGAGGTCAACTGCAGGTCAAAAGCATCTGCCGATGGATTCTGAATGATCTTGGAAAGCACCACCAACATATGTCAAACTAATGCCATCAACACAAGCCCAAAGCCCACTGATACAAAGAGAACCATCACAAACACCTCCGTAAATAATATTTGTAAAAAGTGCTATTTATTGATACATAGTTCCTCTTAGTAGCAGAACTACAGCTTTGGTAGCTCGAAGGATAAGAAAAGCCTTGTGTGAGAGTTCTCTCTCTATAAAGCCTTATCTATAGCCCCAGTATGGTGTAGATGGAGTACTGAGCGCTCTAGTGGTAATGCTGTTGATATAATGTGGAAGCACTACGTCTGGAGAAGCATAATGGAGCCTGTGAAAGACTTGCTGCAACACATTTCCATAACAGTACGACATACATTCTTTCATCCTGCCACTTACCCTGTAATCTTTGGAAACATTTTCTGGGTGCACAGAACCGGAAATCTGGCTGGATATTGTGGCTGCAATCAGCTGCTTGCACCATTCAACGTGTGATCCAGTAGGGCTACAAGAGAGAGAAAAAAGGCACTAGGATTTTACATGCAATCACAGGGTTGTCAGTAGTTTCATTATGAGCAGCACTCCATGGCTTGTTCATAAGCACCACTGAAGTACAACATGGTGGTGCTGGCATGCAGTTTCTCAAGCAACTTTGACTCTATGGAGTTTCTTCACCCTGCTTGGTACTGGTTTCCACTCACAATTTAAAAGCGTACGGACATGTTAAAGAAGAACTTGCAGGAGTTCTGCTTTATTGTGATTGTGATGACTCATGGGACCTTAGACCGCTGGGGTGAAGGAAGAGAGGCTGGAAAGACTGGTCCACCTATGTGTGTGTCACCTGTCCAGCTGTACAGAATGCAAAATGTGTGTAAATCACAAGGTTGACTTGACTATTACAAATCTCTTGGCAGGTAAAACAATCAACATACTGTTTGTATTTCTACTTTGCCAAGAATTGTGATTTAACGAAAAGGACACTTAAAGAGATGATGGACATCGGCAATATAGGATAGTACTGAAAAGACTTCTTCCCTCTTGTCATCACTTAGCTGTCCTGGCCCTGAGACCCAGCATTGTATTCTATAAACACATTCCATGACCTTTCTATTAATCCTTGCTGAGGATTTATCACATAAGGTGCAGCCACATTTTCCTTCAGTTGGTGTGTGAATTTCTGCCAAATGTCCTTGTTTTTCTGGGCCCAGATTTAATAGCTCAGAATAAATACTACATTGTTCCAGACTCATCTTGTCTTTTATTGTTCAATGAAAAAAATAGGAGGAAAAGAGTAGGGTTTGCGGAGGGGTATGTTAGACCATGCATAAACAATTAGAGATATATTTAAAAAATTTCAAAAAATTTATTTAAACAAACATATAAATAGATAGAAATTCATTACAATACATGATTCATGCAATACTTGGAAAAGATCCTATGCTCAGTGAGTATATTCATAAACCGGATGAATCCAACCCTCCCAAATAGGTCCCTCGTCACAGCTGGGACCTTGAGGTGATGCGGAGATAGGTAGCCAGGGAGACTCCCTGCAAGTTTGGCTGATTTATTTATCCTATCTGCCAACAACCAGCCAAACTTGCAGGGAGTCTCCCTGGCTACCTATCTCCGCATCGCCTCAAGGTCCCAGGTGTGACGAGGGACCTATTTGGGAGGGTTGGATTCACCCGGCCCTCATCATCTTGGTCCTCTAAACGTCGGTCCTATTCCATACAGTGAATGTGCAAGATCAAAAAAATAATAATGGCCCCCTGAAGAAGCCATCAGCGAAACGCGTCGGAACTTAACAAGCTAGACATACTATTGGCTATTGCACCAATACCAATATCACTGAATCGGATCATGTTAGCAAAAAAATCTATTAAGGTTTATGAATGTAATCACTGAACATAGGATCTTTTCCAAGTATTGCATGCATCATGTATTGTAATGAATTTGTATCTATTTATATGTTTGTTTAAATACATTTTGACATTTTTAAATATATCTCTAATTGTTTATGCATGGTCTATCATACCCCTCCGCAAACCCTACTCTTTTCTTCCTATTTTTTTCACTTTACGTATTATAGGGGGAGGGGTGCAGTTAGGGTGTCTATAGTGAGGCAATCCACGGCTTGTTTTTTTAACTTTTATTGTTCAAGCAAATGGGAATACTGAAACAAATGTCAGGATCAATCTCCGAGAGGCCTTAGGGGATTGGGGTTGGACCCAAATCGCATTTAGGAAAACGTCTGCAATACAGAAGAAATTACAACGGAAACATTTTAAATCCATCATCTGCTTCTAACGACTGCCTAACAATGACACATCAGAAAGTGACATATAGCCAAATGTGTTTAAAACTTCCAGTGGATGGAGTTTAGTAGGATGTTGTAAGCTTCCTATAGAGATGGTTTGGTCAATATGAAATGTCAAAGCCTGAAAGTCCAGTCTAGAGGCTCACACAGCAAGAAACTGCCCACAGAAACTAGTTTACACGAAGAGTGTCTTGAGAGGAACGCATACAAGTCTCTGTGGATCTCATCTGATGGCTGGTTATGAGCCATATGCTTTCATAAAATACAGAAGCAGCAAGAACTCGTGAGCGGTGGTTTTCCTTCTCTCAAACTCTAACGAATAGCATTCAGAGAAGAATGTTCAAAAATGTAGTTCTGAGGCATTTGGAGTGTATGTAAATGTGTTCACAGCAAAGGTTGGGAACACCCACTATATACATTGCTTGAATGTGGACCCATCAGGAGAAAGCTGTGCCTTAAGGTTTGTTCACATCAGCAGGGGCATGTTATGCTCCATAGAATGTGCCCCGCTGGGGTGTATTGTCTAGTGCCGCCCCTCCCCAATGCCGCCTTAAAGGAGAATTATGAGGCGAGTGATTTTTACACAGCCTCATAATCTGAGCCGACCTGTGAAAATTAAACTGTCACAGGTCGGCTCAGTAGATCGGGAAGTGAGCGAACACATAGCGTCACTGTCACTCACGGCTCCCTGCAGGAATTCCCCCCTTCCCCCTGTCCGATCCTCCAGCGCTGACTGGCGAAACAAACGGGGAAGGGGGTGGGCACTGCTGGCTCTGCCTCTGGATAGGCAGAGCCAGCTGTCAATCCAGCAGCTGGGTGGATCCAGACAGTATTGTTGGGATCTGTCCCGGCTGCGGCGGCTCAGTATACCGCGAGCTGTAGCTCGCGGTATACTGAGCTTTGGGTCACGGGAGAATGCTAGTTTGTGACCTACCGTTACCCTTAGGAGAACTATGGGGAAAAGCCCTGACCCCATAGTTCTCCTTTAAATGATGCCTCTTGATCCAATCATCTTCTTTCCAGTAGGTTTCAGGAGTCCCTCCAGCGCTGGTGCCGTTCTTTGATTCTGCTGTGTCCCCCTGCATTGACTTACACCATCTCTCCCCTCTCCCTCCGAAGATTTCTATTGCGCATACGCCCGCCCCATGATCCTTCACGGCCGCTCGAGAATCTACAGATCTTTGGACGGGAGCCAGCGGCGGAGAAACAGGTAAGTAATTACCTTTTTGGTACTTTTAGCAAGCAGTAGATATATGCATAAAAAAAAAAGCCGTCCGCGGTTTTTACTGTTATCTAGATTTCTGTTAAGGGGATTTCTTTTTTTACACGGGCGGCACCCGTTCCAATTAGCAGGGGATCCGTGCACAGATCTATAGCAGATTAGAGCGGTATGCAATAGATGTCACTCTGGTGACTTCCATGTCCACTCACCTTATTGTGATGGAGGAAAAAACTGAACTAACTGGACCCATGTTAGGTTTTCGGGCAGTCAGAAGTCAGCAGATATGTGTCCATTTCCATCTAATTACTTCTGTTCAGATTTATTTTTGGACGTAGATGGGGTAATCGGACACACATCCATTTACATCTGGCTGCCCTCAAAGTTACATTGAGATTCTGATTAGATCCACCCGAAAATTCTGCCAGGTGGATCTGATTGGAACACGGTGTGAACGGGGCCTTACTTTACTGGTGACAATGGTTTTACCAGACGGGAAACGGCAATAGACAAAGAGTAAACACAGGTAAGTAGCTTTGTTCTCATGAAAAGGAACTTCTCACAGTACACAAGAATTGAAACCCTTACTGGTCATACAAACATACACTAAAGCCAGTCCGTGTGGAAACCAGTTCACCCACCACTGTGCAGGGAACCATCCAAATACGGGGAGATCACTGAAACTCCATGCCGATGGTGTCCCCCCCAAAACCAGAGCGCACAACTCCCTTCCACTCAGCTCCTGCCCCATTCCACAGCTATAAATCCCAACAGGGCCAGAATACAAACTGTGCTACAAGAGAACAATGTCGCTGAATATAGAAATATTTTGTACATGCTGGAAGCTGGCTGGGTGCTACAGACCTCTCCGCGTACATTATATACATCAGCCTGCAGTCATTTCAGCTGCTGTGCCCTCTTTTCTATGTCTCAGGACAACACCCCTCAGGACTGGCACCCTGAACTTCTAGATATGTCCAGCAAATAAAACACCCGTGACCCAAATACTGGCTGTATGCAATGCTTTACCTTAAAGCAGGGGTGGGCAACTCCAGCTGTTGTGGAACTACAAGTCCCATGAGGCATTGCACGACAGTTACAGACCCGCAGAGGCAGAGACATGGCAGTATCACCTCCTGAATGCCAGGCAGCCACTGCTGCCTCTGACGAGCGACCCACCGCACATCACCTTTCTCAGGACGGTGGAGATCACTGCCGCCTGTGTGATTTCAGCCTAACGCTAGCCTTACACCTAGGCGATCCGTGACCGCACGGCAATCTTGCACAAAACCATGTAGATTGCCGGGCGGTCATGGAGTCCCCCACCACAGCCGATCGCGCTGGCGGTGCCATTATTTTCTAATGACACCCCAGTCGCATTGAGTGGATCGTGCGGTTTCTCGCCACCATTCCGCCCGTGCAGTTGCACACGATAAAAAAGCCATGCTTCGTGTGTCGCAAAACAAAAGGTATGTGTTCCTTTTTTTAGTGATTGCCGTGCGAATCGAACCGCATTGAAATCAATGGGGTCGAGCGGCAACCACTGTGCGCACTAGCACTACCAGGACGCGCGTCACGGGTGTCGCTCAGGTGTGAACCTAGCCTCAGACATTTTATAATGTGATAAAAAACAAAACAATCTCAAATACTCTCCTCAAAAAATTCAGCCACCGCAAGGATTAAAAACAACCAGCTAGGACCAGCATTGAATAATATTTACTTGTAGACATCTACATGTTTATGTACAGATACCCACACGTTACACCCCATACCACCACTGCCCATACACTGCACAATGTCTGCTGACATACAATCTGAAGGTGGTCCTGATGACATCACCACGCTCAGCAAAAGTTGGCTTTTCATCGATTTTTGTTGAAGGATCCGGGTGGAAAATCCACAGCCAATCAGCTTTTGTCACTGTTTGCGTATTGTGGCAGCGGCTGTCAGAACACAACAGCCTAGCAGGGGAGACTCGTCCGTCCATCCTGATCAGTGTAGGTGGAGGAATCTGTCCAATCTCTTATGGCAGAATGAAGGAAATCTGTGTGTGTGTGACCAGACTAAGACAAGGAATCGTCTGTACAGACGTGGGAGACCCGTCCATCCTGATCAGTGTAGGTGGAGGAATCTGTCCAATCTCTTATGGCAGAATGAAGGAAATATATGTGTGACCAGACTAAGACAAGGAATCGTCTGTACAGACGGGGGAGACCCGTCCATCCTGATCAGTGTAGGTGGAGGAATCTGTCCAATCTCTTATGGCAGAATGAAGGAAATATATGTGTGACCAGACTAAGACAAGGAATCGTCTGTACAGACTGGTGATTCAACCAGATAACAAATATCATCTATAAAACACAAATGACCATCATGATCACTGAAACACGGAATAGAATGTTGAAATGTTACAGGTGTATATTGTGTGTATACTATGTGGGTGAATGTTGTGTTGAGGTTGAATATTATGGGATGTCGGTGCACCCTGTACATTCCATAGATCAGATACACTGGCTGTATACAAGATCTGTTTATATACACCACAGAAGAAGGAATAGATCCCATCAGCATACCAGCACCCAGACCCTATCCTTTACCTATATCCTGACTATGCCGGGATCTGTAGTTCCACAATCAACACAGATCACCAGGGTGCAGCAATGAGCAACAACTCATATCCAGCATGATATTACCAGGAATTAAACTGCAGCCATCTATACTGATCAACAGAGCTTACACTCTAAGGCAGATCATCATGTCAGCTGCTGCCATAATAAACACATAGCACAGTCCCCCGCCCACATACACTTCTACACCTGACCCCCAGCTATGCTGCGCACACACAGGTGCTGCCGGTGTTGGTGAGCTAGAAATCCCAGCATGCCCTGATGAGCTCTGGGGATGCTGCACGCCCACACACATGCAGGAAGAGTACCTGTCTAGGGTCTCCACGCTGGGCTGCCGAGAGCTGGGCACTGACGGGGGCGCGGATGGCCGGGGTGGTTTCCTAGCAGCAGATGCTCCGGCGGTGCCGCCCCCTCCGGATAAACTCTCCAGCCCCGTCAGCTTGTCCATGGCGTCCCCCTTCTTCCTCCTCCTCCCCGGATGCTCGGGATACAGCTGAGCCGCTTATCGCACAGGAAGGACCGGATTGATGGCCGCTCTTCCTGCCGGCTTCCTGCAGGCTGATGGAGGAGGGAGATCGCCTCTGACGTCCCCGCTGTCACCCCGCTCCGACCGGCATGCACCGCGCCGCTACCTTGTATTCGGGGCTGAGCTGGGACTACCCACAATGCAGTGCGGGGAGCCGGGGGGTCAGTGAGAGCACTGGAGGGGAGAAGAGCAGAAGGAGAGGGCCGGTCGGTAATAACAAGACACCGGCCTCCTGTGAATGAGAAGTTTGCCCTCAAGTAGACAATAGCCCGGTACTGAACGGACCATGCCCCATACAGAAGACGTGCGACACCTGCTTGCATGTCCACAGCACACAGAATACCGTCCGCAAATACCTGATACTGTGCGCACAATGCCCTACAAGACTGGTAAAGCAGAACTCTGCAGAGCTGCAAGGGTTAACTTTTTCCTCCTTAGACACAACCGAGCACTTAAAAGAGAACTATGGAGGTAACATTTTTATCCCATAGTTCTCTTTAGGGTCATGGTAGGACATATACTAACCTCCTCCCGTAAACCAAAGCTAAGTACCGTGTTTCCCCGAAAATAAGACACTGTCTTATATTTTTTGGGCTCAAAAAACACACTAGGTCTTATTTTCAGGGTAGGTCTTTTTTTTTTTTTAATGTACAACAATCCAAAGTTAACACAAATCCAAATTAAATCATCCAAAAGTTAAGAATAGGGTGATCATGGGTGCCGTACCTTTCCAAGAGCAATTTGGTAACCAATCGCTGGACAGAATGAGCGAAACGCACTTTCACCAGCGATTCCTCACATGCAGAGTGCATTTGGTATCACTCCGCCAGTGACAGGAGCCAGCGCTATAGAGGAGGCATTGGCTTATGCGGATCTACTCCCTTCACTGCCGCCTCGCTTCCTCTAGCGCTGGCTTCATTGGCAGTGCCGTGATAGGTTGCCACCTGTGCAATAAGTCCATCCGTGAAACTTCCTTGCTACTAAATATCCCACGGTCACCTGTTAGTGGTATCGTAACCAAATGGAAGCAACTGGGAACAACAGCAACTCAGCCATGAAGTGGTAGGCCACGTAAAATGACAGAGCGGGGTCAGCTCATGCTGAAGTGCGCAGAAGTAGCCAACTGTCTGCAGAGTCAATAGCTACAGACCTCCAAACTTTGTGCGGTCTTCAGATTGGCACAACAACAGTGTGTAGAGAGCTTCATGGAATGGGTTTCCATGGCCGAGCAGCTGCATCCTAGCCTTACATCACCAAGTGCAATGCAAAGCACAGGATGCAGTGGTGTAAAGCACGCCGCCAGTGCCACTGGACTCGAGAAGTGGAGACGTGTTCTCTGGAGTGATGAATCACGCTTCTCTGTCTGGCAATCCGATGGACGTGTCTGGGTTTGGCAGTTGCCAGGAGAATGGTACTTGCCTGTCTGCATTGTGCCAAGTGTAAAGTTTGGTGGAGGTGGGATTATGGTGTGGGGTTGTTTTTCAGGGGTTGGACTTGGCCCCTTAGTTCCAGCCAGTGAAGGTGACTCTTAAGGCATCAGCATACCAAGACATTTTGGACAATTTCATGCTCCCAACTTTGTGGGAACAGTTTGGGGATGGCACCTTCCTGTTCCAACATGACTGCGCACTAGTGCACTAAGCAAGGTCCATAAAGACATGGATGAGCACGTTTGGGGTGGAGGAACTTGACTGGCCTACACAGAGTCCTGACCTCAATCCGATAGAACACCTTTGGGATGAAGTAGAGCAGAGACTGCGAGCCCGGCCTTCTCGTCCAACATCAGTACCTGACCTCACAAATGTGCTTGTGGAAGAGTGGTGAAACATTCCCATAGACACACCCCTAAACCTTGTGGACGCCTTCCCAGAAGAGTTGAAGCTGTTATAGCTGCAAAGGGTGGGCCAACTCAATATTGAACCCTACGGACTAAGGCTGGGTTCACACCTATGCGTATTGTATATGCGCGTTTCGCGGCACGCGTTTTTACCGCGATTCACGGTAAAAAAACACGTTCCCAAGGGCTACTTGGCTGTATCCCGATGGAAACGCGAGACCAAAACGCCCCAAAGAAGTACATGTACTTCTTTGGGCGTAGGCCGTTTTGTATCGCGTTCGGACGGGCGGAAATACGGCAAGGTGTGAACCAGACCCATTGAATACAATGGGATTTAGATGTTTGAGCGTTCGTCGAGCGTTGAACGCGCTACAAAACGTTCAGGTGTGAACCAGGCCTAAGACTGGAATGCCATTAAAGTTCATATGCATGTAAAGGCAGGCGTCCCAATACTTTTGTCAATATAGTGTATATGGTGAAAGCGCTGCAGCCGGTCCTCAAATGTCCCTTCTATCAGACTTTGTGAGTGATGTGGAATGTGCGATCTCACATTCCCCAGTAATGTTACTGACGTGACCTGGGGAAGGGGAGATCGCACATTCCACCGCAATCACAAAGTTAGATAGAAGGGACATTTGAGGACCGATCAGCTGTTCCAGGCAGATGAGGTAGTCTAGATCAGACCTCCTGCACATGCGCAGTGAGCCGATCTGACAAAGCTTTGGATTGCTTGACCTAATAGGCGGTCACACATTGCAGCGCTGTCAAACTGGGCGGGATTACGTTGAAATGTGTGACCGCGTCACTGGTCTTGCATTCCAACGTAGTTACAACATTTGATAGAACCCCCAGGACAGAGTCTGACAATACGGTCGAGATCCACCCAGATACCTGATTGACAGCAGGATCTGCCTATCCAAAAGCAGTGCCTGCTATGCCCACCCCCCTCCGCATTCATCCTTTCAGTCAGTACTGGAGGAGAGGGGAGAATCCCTGCAGGGAGCGGTGACTGACAGTCACGGCTCTCTGCAGGGAGATGATCGGGAAGTCAGTGAGCGACAGTATGTTTTCACTCAGTTTATGATCAATAGAGCCGACCTGTGACAGTTTCAATATCACACGTCGGCTCCAAGTATGTAGGAGTGTAAATCACTCACCCCATAGTTCTCCTTTAACCCTTGCGGCACGGGAGAGATTATTAATAATTTTCCCCGGAGTTCTTCTTTAAGGAGACCGGTCAAACCCTCCAGCAACCAATGAACTTTTATAGACTTACAATTGACAATAGAACATGTCCATGTCTGCAGCATAAAAAGGTCTCAGGAATATGGTCTCGGGATGGGGAACTCACATTACAGAAAGACCGGCTGGAGATTCTGGCGACTCAGCTGATTGCTTCTCCGGGCCGCTAAACTGCCTGGAGCGAAGTTTCAATAAGGTGCGGTGTAAAACTCGGCTTTCGTATCTTGTAAAGAGGCACAAGACAACCTGGCTCGTATATACAGATTTATTTCTTTTCATCACTGTATAGTAGGGATGTCCCGATGCCACTTTTTCAGGCCCAAGTACAAGTATATCCCCTCATGTACTTGCCGATACTTTTTCTTAAAGGGACAGGTGACTTTAAATGATCCATAGTACAACTACATGTTCTGTACTATGGATCATGGTTTAACCTATTCATGTTAGCAGGGGAGAATTGTAACTCTATTGTTGGAGTGTAATGAAGGTGTATGCTGTATATATGTACTACATATACATTACACACGTCCAGTACACTATTGCAATAGATTTACAGCCAGCCCCGTCCCAGCTTCCCTTACTCACAGTTTCAGTCCGATCCCTGTTGCCTCACGCAGCGCCTCTCGTAGTCGGTGCTGGGCAGGATCGCTGCATCGCATCTCGATGCTCAGCTTGTGGGAGGCGCTCACAATTCTGCCCTGCTAACATGAATAGGTTAAATCATGATCCATAGTACATAACACGTAGTTGCACTAAGGATCATTTAACGTATTCATGTTAGCAGGGGATTATTGTAAATATATTGCTGCAATGTACGGGACATTTGTGCTGTATATGTACAGTACATATAGATATACAATTCTCCACTGCTAACATGAATGGGTTAAATGATCCTTAGTACAGGGCTACATATCATGTACTACGGATCATTTAACCCATTCATATTAGCAGAGGATAATTGTAAATCTATTGTTCAGTGCATTCTATATGTAGTATATAGTACATGTACATATAGAGTGCCTGCAACAATACATTTACAATGATCCTCTGCTAACATGAATGGGTTAAATGATCCATAGTACAGGGCTACATACAGATCATTTAATACATTCATGTTAGTATAATTGTAAATGTATTGTCTGCACTGTATTAGCAGTATATACTCTATATGTAGTATATAGAGTATATACTGCTAATACAGTGCAGACAATACATAATTGCTTAATAAATCCCCCCCCCAAATCTGCCCTCACTCACTGTGTGACTGTGCCGGAGAGAGCAGGGACGAGTCAGAGGCAGCGCTGGTCCAGTGGGAGGAGCTCCAGGTGGGGTCCTAATTTAACTGGCTTAGAGGTGCCTGCCAGCTAAATTAGAACCCCACCTGGAGCTCCTCCCACTGGACCAGCGCTGACTGGCCGCTGCAGGGTTTTTTTTTTTTCCTTACTTACCTCGCCGATCGTCGCGTCACTGCTGCTCCGGTGGGCGGCGCTCCGAGCGGGGTCATCTGGCAGTCTCCGGCCATCTAAATTAGGACCCGGAGCCAGATGACCCCGCTCGGAGCGCCACCCACCGGAGCAGCAGTGACACTCGGCGAGGTAAGTAAGAAGAAGAAAAAAAACATAGCGCAAGCTTCGGAGCTAGGCATCGGGGCATTTTGACAAGTACAAGTACTTGTCAAAATGCCCTGTATCAGGCCCGATTCCGATGCTAGCATCAGTATCGGGACATCCCTACTGTATAGGAAAGGCCAGAAAGGTTTAGACAAAATCTAGACAGTTATTGATGACTAGGCAATGCAAATGTTTACAGAAGATGAATACTGAACCTTTGCTACACAGAAATGTGAAAAGATTGTATATATAAGAGACGCCATTTACCAAGTAATAAGACAACTGTGTTTACCTGCTCTCTGCATCGCTAGCTGGAGGCTCACTTTCTAGTAAACCGCATTTAATGGCAATCCACACTGTTGGTACTGTTCAGGGACTGGTAGGTCCCTTCTTCAGAAATGGAAAGCCTTGTGGGAAGAATGTGGCTGTCCAATCACCAGCAGAATATGAATAACTAGAATG